AACTGTGTTTAAAACACAAAACAGAAACTCGGTCATTCGAAGCATGGAAAAATAATGTCATTCCGTGACGATAGTATTTCGTCTATATTTCGAAAACGAAACATAGATTTGAAATTCTATTTTTTTCTATAGACAACCCAAAGTCTAGGCTATAATTTTTCTATAGATCACATTTCTTCAAACTGTAAGGATGAGCTGAGTTTTGAACATCTTTACACAGCACCGAAAGCAGCATTCCATTTTCTGTCATTCCATGACGGCCGATATTTTTTCCATAAAAAATTATCCATACCACGAAGTAAAGTAAAACTTTAGGATATTGTAGAGCTTGATGACCCCGATATGTGCAGAAAGTTTGAACTTCCCAGCTGTCACCGTTACAAAGAAAACTAGAGTGAAAGAAGAAAAAGTGTCATTCCGTGACGTTTGGTCAAGCCGTGCTCAATCTGTACCACTTTTAAAATACGCTTTGAGGGTTAAAAAATACCTGCTGTTCACTTCCTTGTTTCATATTAATTGCAATCTACTTGCCAGGCGTTCGCTGTTTTAGTATGAAGGAAAAAGGAGAATAAGAGGTGGGACAATATACCCAATGACATTCGACCACTTAACACAAAACTGTCACGAATATAAGTGTAATCAACATAAACAAAATGAGAAAGAGAAGAACGATGGCAGCCATTTCCATTATGATTATTATTTAGCTCAATCTCTGAGAAATCTAGCAATCGTCCGATTACTAGATTTCCAATGTTGTTACCAGGTAATTGCAATTTAGAGTAAAAATCTAGTAATCTAGATAAATCGGGCGACACTAAATTTTTTTGATGCATGGGATATGACACTCTATCAGAATAGAAGACATATTCGAACGCTATAAACGGTATCAAGGTCAATCTTTAGTTTAATTTACTTGTATTTATTGAATTTTTTCCTTTTTCTCTGTTTGGTTTCCACTTTTCATCGGCACTTTTGAGGAACGAGCACTTCTTCCTTCAGGCATCATATACACAGGCGTAATAATATGTATGTCAATTAGCAAGAATTCACAATATACTTTTATGCGCTTCCAGTGTTCTAAGCAAATCCAAAAATGTTCCAAATTAACGATGCATTTTTCGAGCTGTCAGACTCATACACTCTTCTCATACACATGACACGAAGTAGAACATATTCTGTAAGTTTAAAGTAATCTGATTTGGTTTGAGAGAATTTTTATTCTCCCTAAGAAAGAGATTGATTAATAAAACCATCAAATAGGTTTAGAAGAGAAAAAAAGCCCTGCCTGAAACCCATTTGGTGTATTAATAACTTTCCTGACTACGTTCCTCAACTGAAAAAAGATACAGGACAGTTACAAATCCATGAGCCCAAGTTTTCCGAAATCTTTCGAAAAAGTTGATTCATTGATCTGTAACTGTCATATATTTTTTGTAGTTGGGAAAAGTTGCAGATAAACCTCAATAGGTTTCGGACTGGATATTTTCCTTTACCGAACTCATTTAGTGGATTTATTAATCAACCTTTATTCAGACATTTATGCATATAAGGACAAATAGTTTAAAAGATTTTGAGGATTTAGGGACAATAAATTCAATATTGTAGAGGTGAAAGTTTTCTTATTATGGGCAACGAAAAGCGAGATCATTTTGTTGTTAAAATAAGCAGAAGGAAGACTATGAGGTGAGCGTCCAAAAGAGAAGATGTGGGTAAGAGGGTGACGTTGTAAATGAATTAGTCCTAGTACAGCAGCTAATTTAAATCACATTTTATTAATAAAAACAAGAAAAAATCGTTTATTTAATTCGATGTTTTGACAATATATTTGTCATTAACAAGAAATATGTGTGGTAACAGATATTAACATAAGAATAAAGTTGGCTATATGAACTCTCACATAAGCACTTATATATATACTAAACAATGTTACCAAACAGTTAGATAGAGAAAAGTAGAAATAGAACTAGAGAAATAGAATTATACAGTTCGGCACCGAGGTGTACAAATATAAATGACCGAATTTTTTGAAATTGAAATTATCATCTAGTTCAGCCCAAGCACGAATGTATACCCGCTAAACCGCATAGGTATGATTTTATTTTATACACGGGTTATTTTTGTGTAGTGGGGTGGTTTGATCAAAGTTTTTTTGCTAAACTTTTGATCATCACCTTGTCAGTTTTTAAGATTCATGAATTAAATAAATTTGACTTTGATTTCATGCCGATTGCTGCGGATATCAGATCAGCACAAACGGATTAACAATGCTCTTTTAGCTAAAAGAAGAGTTAGTAGCTAAAAGAGTTAGTTTTCAGAAATTTTGTCACATGAAAAATCTTTTCTTCGATTATATAAGGAAAGTGTCTTTGTGTGTCCGAAACATCAAAAAATGATTATATTTCTTTTTTTTGTCTTATGCATGATTTACCCGGTTTTGATAAATTTAGTTAGTTCATATTCGTTTTCAATTTTATCGTATGGTCGAAATCACCTCGTGAGAAGGCTAAAAGTAAAGCTTTAAAGTATAAAAATCAAATTGCCTATATAAAAAAACGGTTATCACAAAGTTTTGGTTAACCCTGGTTAATCCTTAACTGATGCAATTTATGCGAAAAGTAATTAAAAGTTACGCCATTATGGTGGCGCCACCTGTAATTATTCCAAAATTAACATCTTCAAGGGTTAACCAAAACTTTGTAATAACCCTTTTTTTATATAGGGCAATTCGATTTTTATACTTTAAAGCTTCACTTTTACCCTTCTCATGACGTCATTTTGGCCATATGTTGTGTGTGTTTCTTTTTAGGGTGCTTCCATTCAGCTCCGCCCACCATTACATGATCTTCGAGCTGCGAAGATTTTAATATGTATATCGTATAGAGCATAAAAAGTTAGCTTTAGAACATTAGGCTCGTCCTTCAAAAAAATATGTGGAACATGGTTTTTCAGAGGTCCAAAATTTTAGGGACAGTTTTAGGATTTTCTCTCAGACCCAAATAAAACTCTTGACTACCGTAGATGAAAATATGAAAGCACATAAGCTGAGTAAAATGGTGAAAGAATTAGGTCGATAGCTATCGGCGTTTTTGAACAGTGATCGATTTAGTGGGAAAATTCGAAACGTTTGGGCTCATATATCTCAAAAACTCTCCGAAATTTTTTTCTATTTTATATCGAAACCGATAGAGCTCATCGAGCTCTACAAAATGGCTGTAGTCAATTTTTTGGCAAACGCCATTTTCACCATCATCTTCAACATCAAAGTTCGTAAAATATCGATCGCCTTTATACGATTTAAACTCGATTTCTACTCTATTTTTCACTTCTATTGCGACCACATCGTTTCGGTTATCATCAGATTTCTAATTCTAGCTGATTTTAATCATAATAAGCTAAAAAGAAATCACTAAGGAAATTTTACAATATATATTCATAGAGATTTTTTACTCGAGTTTGCATTCGCTGAAATCAACCAATTAACATTCGTTGAATTCTTTCTATTTCGCTTAATGGGTCAAGATAAGCTAGTGAGGATTTGACCTACTGAGGAAAAATAACCATTGCAGTATTCTTTGGTCTCTCACCATTTTCGGCGAAAAAGAATATATACGTCCATCTTGGATGTCGTCTGTTCTGATTCCTGTACCAGAAAAGTATAAACGCAAAAACGCAAAATATATAATCGTTTTTGATTGGTGAATTCAATCTAATACGCTGTAGGTTAACGTAATGATAAATTTCTCAGTACACTTCCTCACTTGACCCGCTTAATGACTGTACGCGTGCGTGCATTGCTTCATATTTCAGCCAATGGAAACTCGAGTATAAAATCCCTATGAATATATTGTAAAATTTTCTTAGTAATTTCTTTACCTGAATGGAAGTACCCTTTAGGAAAATCTACATTAGTTGATATCTTGAAAAGAATCTATTCTCATTCGTGTCAAGTATGTTCAGCCGATCACTTTTTCATGTCTGAAGAAACAGGTGAATACAAATTTGATCGATCAAAAACATCTGATGCACATCAGACATGTCAGCGAAATGCAGAAGATGCATGCCGGGACGATTCATCCTTGTAAATCTCTTTGATAAGTTAGAAATGTTCGTCTTTCTGTCTTTTATTGTAGCCCCGGTATTAATGCAATTGTGATCGATAATACAAATATTCGTATGGACGAATGTAAATTTTATTTTCAAAAAGCATCACAATACGGATATATTGTTGTTATTGCTGAACCACGAACACAATAGAACAAAAATGCACAATATCTAGCGAGTGAGTCAGTCATATTTGGAGATGTTATTCTTTAAAATAACATCTCTATTTTATTTTAGCTCATAATATTCATCAGGTCCCATTAGACACAATACAAGCACGTTTGCATCAATATCATTTTTACACTGTAATTAACATCTAGTTGCTCCCAAAGATGATACTGCGATGTTTTTCACAACAATACGTTACTTAGTTAGACCTGTCTCCGTTTCTGATGTAGGGTGAGAAACAGAGGTGTTTCCAGTAGGCGTTTAACAATCAAATCTGCCGCTAACACTTTATATTGTTCTTCGAACACAAACCTTTAGCCTTACGACATGCTTTTACATGATTTGTAATTCCTTGTGGTTTGAAATATTTTCCACATCCAGGTACTCGCAGAAAAAATAGAAGAGAAAAAACACAAGAACTCATTAAGGTATCACAGAACGAATCGATGGCATGTTTTTATCTTATATGGTGAAGAACAAGAAAAAGAACTGGAATAAAGTAATAAAATGAATTCTTCTTCTCGAATGGCTACCACGCTCGAGACGCGTCTGTATAACGCGATCAAGGGGGACGCTCAACCAAAAAAGGTAAAGCAACTCATTGAACAAAACGTCGATTGTAATTTTTCTCACTTTAATTCGAATACTCTGACTTTTTTCTCTCCTGTTCAGCTGGCTGCTGAAAAGGGAGACTACCGCTACCGTAAGCTTCTTCTTCTCTATAAATATCGTAATATTCCAACAAAAACACAACTCGAAAAACATTTGACATTCTATTACAATCATTATCAGTCGTCGAAAGAAGAAGAAAATGAAATACTTCTCGATTTTACTGTCAGCCGTCTTCTTCATACTCGTATTACTAAATATCCTACAGAACAATTTCATATTCTTATTACTGCTCTCCACGGTTATGATGAAGCCAAACTACGTGGACGGAAGTTGGGCGTCGGATCCACACAGGACATGTTTCTTCAACTACGTATTTCTACCCTCTTTCGATGGATTGTCGAAATGAGGACCAATTTTCGAACGATACCCGACAATGAAATACTCACAGTTGTTGAAAACGAACTTTTACACAATTTAGAAACATATTATTTTCTCTATGATATTTTACGTATTCCAGTGCGCATAAATGAGAAAATGATTCGACAGAGGTTTGTTGACATTGAATCGTCACAACCATTACTAATCAAATTCTATCGATATATTGCAAAAAATCTTAAAAGCAAGATCGAACAGCTTCGACCAGAACAAGAATATACTATTCCAACTGGGTGGATGAGACATGCCGTTTGTGTTTCTTTCCGACGCATTAGTCAAACACACATCAGTATTCGTATTGACAACCCTAGCGTTCATAATCCACCGAATGTACACGAAACTGATCGCTTCCACAGAATTAAACCCAAAGTACTCGGTCAATTGCATGTGAACGATTTAGATAATAATTTGTCCTATTTTATTTTACTGATCGATAGTGTCAAACGAGACTTGACACCGGATGAAGGTATTTCATTGATATATGATTATAACAAACAAATTCAACATCTCGACAGAAGACAAATAGAAAATGTACCGCATTTTGATGAACAAGCAGCTGCCAATTGTTTTGTCAAATGTTTTGAACCTGGTTTTCGGATACGCTTTGGTGCAACACGTCAGAAACTTTGCGAACGATTAATATTACTCGAAAAAAACAATGCTGTTCTACTTGTCAGACTTTGTGAGCAGGAACATCAGTGTTTCGTGACCGACCGTTTCGCTCCATTTACCAAAATAGGCGACGTGAATAGACTACCCATTGTAGAGAATGCTCGTCTTCAGGACCAGCTCAAAAGGAGTTATCAACAACATTATCGATATCTTTCAAGTGTCATGCCTATAGAAAGTTTGAATCTTATGACGGAGAAATTCGTCCCTTTACAATTAGAAAAAGAAAATACACTCATTAAACTCAAACATCTCTTCATCGAACCTCGTGTCCTTGTTCTTGGCGAAGCCGGCTGCGGCAAGACCACACTCTGTCAATATGTAACACATTCATGGGCTCAGGGAACACTATGGCGAAATCAATTCGAATGGTTATTCTATATTAACATGCGAAATTTAAATTCAAAACTCTATCCACAACGGTATAATAACTATTCATTGATCGATATTATCGAGCGAGAATGTTTCCAAGGATACACACTTGTCGATTTAGACAAACTCAAATTAGAGTATCAGCTCGCACGTTCATCAAATATCCTATGGATTCTCGATGGATGTGATGAACGAACTATTCCAGACTATTTACATTCGATCGAACAACAATTATTAGCTAAACAGCATCTTCTTCTAACATCTCGACCATATGGAACAAATGATTTCCAGTACGATGTTCGAGTTCATGTTAAAGGTTTCACAAATGAGGATATTGAAGAATATATATATAAATACTTTTCTACTCTCCTTCGTACGAGAGCTAGCGAATGTTGGTCATTTGTTCGTTATTCTGAGCAACTGCGACAAACAGCACGTATTCCTGCATGTCTTGAACTCATTTGTAGTTTGTGGGATAGTGGAAAGTCAAATTTAGACGTTGGTATTATGATGGGAGATCTTTATGAGAAAATGTGTGAATATCTCTTGCGACGATATCTTCTTAAATTCCATGGTCAATGTACGTCCGCTCTAGCTGAATCAGATGTCTATCAACATCCGAATGCAATGGCGTTCACCTATTTAGAATATCTCGCATTCGAAGCAACAAAATTACATAGATTTGCTGTCAGTGGACATCATATTGCAAGTGTTACAGGTCCACTATTTCTATCGTTACTTCAAATTGGTCTACTTAAACCAAAAACACGAGATCCTCCTTCTCTACTCGTCGAAAAAGTCTACTATTTTATTCATCGTAGTTTTCAAGAATATCTTTGTGCTCGTTATATGATAAGAGCACTAACGTCAGCCTGTTCAAAGGAGCAAGAGAGAGAAGTAGTTAAGTTTATTACCTACGAAAAATATAACCGTCGTGTGCGAGATACATTTCGTTTATTCTTCGAGCTGCATCGCTCTAGTTTGTGTACGGATCGCTTTTGGTCAGCTGTCGATAGTGAACCACGTGATTTGGTCGGTCTTCGACATTGTTCTTGCATTATTCAATGGTTTCCTTATGGAAGTTGTGTGTTTGCTTTCGAGGACGAGCAGAAAATTAATAAGAGAACCATGGATACTATAGTCACATGGATTTCGAAGAAAGATCGTCTACCACATGATTATGGCAATACATATCTATTCGAATGGTTTGTCGATGTGATTGATGCTCAACACTGGTTGAGAGCATGGAAAGAAGATTTGCTCATTGAAGATTCATCGAAACGGCGCTATTTTCTGCCTGATTTGTGGTCGGAGAAGAGTATAGGTGTCATGAAAGGAATCTATGACAATATTCTGAAAAATTTGCATGCTCTATACCGCCTTATCAAGAAGGGGCCTACTACGGTCGATCTCAAATGTTTACATATTGATTCCGATTTATTCACTCTACATACAGTCGATGATCAAATCGAAACACCAGAATTTTTGAAAGCAGCCCAGGAGAAAGCCAAACGACACGAACCGATAACTACTCTACCAGAATTTCAAGTACTTTTACAGAATTATTCGTCTTACGCCAAATTGAATTGTCGAGAGAGGACACTGGGCATGGAAACGTGGAGCTTGAACATTGCTCCATCTGCACTGACAAACATCAGCAATGAAACGTTAGAGCTTCTTTCACGATTATCCCAACAAAATACACTCTTCTTTCGGGACTTTCACCTGCCCGTGACTTCTTTTCTTGAACTCTATTCGAAGCAAGGTGACTCAAATAGTGACGTTCTTTGTTCACTCATCGTTTCAATTACTTTGTCAAGTAGTTGCCTTCTCACAGCACCACCTGAACAAAAGAATTCGATTCGAGTTCATGAGAATGAAACATCTGTTGATATCGAATTGGATGAAAGACGACGGTCGACGCTGATTTTTGCATTCGATCAAGTTCGTGACACTTATGGATATTCTTCTTTTTTTGCAGAAGACAACTAGATTTTTATGCAATTCTTGAGATAATTTGACGTCACTCCTACAGATAATGGAGGAAGAGGAAGCTGGGCTCAAGCTATTGTTCGACTACGCTGCGCAAAACAAACTAAATTTGGGAGTTTCACGAAAGAAGGGCGGATGCGTTGACCTCCAATAAACTTTCAAACCATTAGACTGTGAGTCACTACACACAAATCCCTCTCATCCAATTGCGCGAAAACTTTGAACAGATCTTCTAAACGCCGTAGAAACCTGATTTTTCTGAAACTCTGGTATTTTAATGAAATATCGGAATCAAAAAGGATTCTGGTGGCTTCAGTTCGTAGAGCAAACATTTGTGGTTAAAATGAGACGTCTGGCAGCACCAAGCGATGCTTTCATCAAAAGTTATGACAGGTTTATTAAGAGCCCTAAAATGTGTGTCATGCACACTATCCAGGTGAAACATAACTGCCATTTAATAAGCCATGTAATGCGATTTAAATGTATGCCGAAAAACTGGCTTTTAACACCCAAATAACTATTAAAAAACTATCCGATAACAGTCAGTTTGTTGTCTGTTATGTGGCTGTTGATAAAGGCTCGAGAAAAGGCATTTAACATACCACAAAATGTTGGAAAAAAGGCAGTTAATAGTCACTGTGTACTGTAAATTTTTTGGCTATGTGTTATAATGGCGAAAGACACGCATTTAACTGTGCATCCGAAAATGTAAAATAACTGTCACAGTTAAATAGCTATTAACAGGTCATTCTCCAGTTGCAAAATATACAGCGAAAAAACTGTCATTTAAAATGGTTGTTTCATTCACCCTTTTATTTTGCAAATCATGACTGATATATGTATATATAGCACTGAAGTTTGGAAGAAATTTGCAAATTTTTCTCTACCCTGATTGTACGAGTCATCGAAACTTGTCTAGTGGAAGTCGTCGCTGATTCTGGATCTAGAGCCCTTGAAGGCACTGTGGATCTACGGGACCAAAAATGTCAAATATTTTGAAAATCACTATGTTTGAGATACTAATCAAAAAAATTAACCAGAGAAAACGCTCGATAATTGACCGTTAACTGCCAGTAATGGTGCAAAAACGGCCATTACCTGATGTTATTAACTGCCTGTTTTCGGACAGTTTCCAGCCTGTTAAAAAATATCATTTTAAGACATTAAAACATTCCCATTTATAATGTGTAAAAATATAAGTTTATTTTCTTCATTTCCTGACCCATTTGACTAACACTTGATGGCTTGCCGACTGACTCTTGAGCTTTTTAGAGAATTTAACTGTGATATCCAATATATTACGAAAAAGACATCATGAAGATAATATATGTCGTTTCGTGGTCAATAAATAGCATATAGAAAGTTAGATATAGTGATACTTGAGAAAAATATAATTTATTATTTAGTTTGTAGTTTTTTTACATAAAACTATAAAACAACTTTTATTTTTGACATAATAAAAAATTCCATTGTTTTAAGGCTTTTACCTTTTTTGTACAAAACAAATTTTTGAAGAGATGTGAGGGAAGCAATAAAAATAGAATCTAAAGTGTTTGAAGCACTAACCACTATATCTTACCGATAATGAAACTGGGGATTTTCACAACGAATATCACTCAATTGGATGTAATGTATTTACTACACAAAGCCAAAAATACATAGTGGGTAATTTTCAACAGAGAAGACACATACTTTTTTGTCCTGAAAATCCAACAAAATGTCTTCCGTAGTTTTTATCATGCTCACGGCTGATTTTCACTTCCCGAGTCGTGTGTACTGGCGGCATACCAAAATGGTTGTCACGTGTGCAACGATTGTTAAAATGCTTCAATCATGTTGCATGAAATATATTGCTATCTGATAACACCATACTAATAAATCTGGCTCACGAGATATTTCATTCGTCATTTTATTCCCTAGACTGAAAGAATAGGGTCTGTCAAACGGTAAATATGTATTTTGTCTGACCGTCTGTCTGTCTGTAACCCGTATTTGAAACCACAGTGAAATCTGTTGTCGGTTGATCGAGAGTGAAGGTTTTTATTACGTCAGATGAAGAAGAATCTCTCTTTCTCTCTTCATTGATCGCTTTAGCACCTTTCTTCTCTTGCTCGTTCGAATATCGAGTGCTGCGACTTATTCAACTTCACTGCCTCCCTGTCCGTGGAGAATACGACTTTGAAACCTCAATCCATCTCTTGCTCGATCGTTGATTTTATTCCAATGGGTGATCTTGCTCGATCGTCTGAATTCGGTTGATTTCGACGACAGTTTGTTGATTGAATGCAGAATACTACTGCCGACTGATGACATCTGTTTAATACAGACTGAAACGCGTCGTGGCTGTTTATTTTGATACTCACACCCTCACACACTCACACCTTCACCCTCAGCCGCTAAATCTTTTGATATTCGACTAGTCCAAATATGTTGCGATGAAGCAAGGTTGAAATCGCGATCATGGTTGCTCGTCCCACTCTCATACCCTCAGAAGTGTATGGCGCAGACGAGTCATCAAAGAAAGCCTCCTCACGCAACAGCACCTCGGAAAGACCATGAACCAAGTCATCCGAGTCTTCCAGTAGTCTACAATAACCAACGCTTCAGTAGTTACTCTATTATATTGGTATATTTCAGTTGTAGTTCCCTTTGTTTTCTTTCTCGTACCGTTTCACTGTTCTCCGACTCTGCGTGAGTGCACACCTGATTATGATCTTAGAATAGATCGAAAGCTCGTGTGTCTCCGTTGCACTTAATCAGTGTGCTTTTCACGGCAGTTCTCAACTTACTCCTCTCGGTTATGCTTCCAACCTCCTCACCAAATTAGTTATTGTGAGACACTTTTTATAAATATAGCAACTAAAAATTCATCAAAATACAATTTCATTGTCTTAGTGCTGTCCTTCTAACAATCTTTTCTGGTTTTTCGTTTTGTTTCTCATAGTAGAAAAAGTAAGAAAAAAAATTGTTCTAAGTCTGTATTTGATTATAGAGTCGTTACATGAACGGTTCTACCATTCGCTGTAAAGACGAATTCGAATATTGCCACCAATGTGATGATGGTAATTGACCTGGACGACCGGTGCTTGTTCTCAACATTATACCATAGCAGATTATATCTTCTTTTATATAGCGACCATTCGGCGAAGCTTCAATAACCCATTCAAGTTTTTTATTACTGAAATGTGGATCTATTTGCACTTTATCTCTCCACTTCGGTTCCATTGTCGTATCGCCAAAGATTTTTATAAGTTCTGGATTGACACGACATTGAAATATCATCTGATGATATTTACCAGTTCTCGGATCGTAACGTACTTTTGCATATCGTGGGTGTGCAGAATATTCAATACTCGGTGAAACATAGACACACTTTCCTAGTGTGCCATGAATTCCATGATTTGCTCTCAGTCCCGAATTCAGTATTGGAGCAGCATTTGTATCTTCTGTACCATGATAAGCAATACACCACTGACCCCAACGCTCATCAAATTCATCGGCTGTATTAGCTACTTTTATACCATATCGTTTCCAACCTTTATAAAATACAATAAACGTAGAAAATTTCTGTTTCAAAAATCAATTTATCATCTACAGACATCTTGAGGGTGTGAGGATGAGTGAGGGTGAGGGTGAGAGTGGGTGAGTAAGAGTGGGGGTGTAAGGGTGGAAATAGCTGAAAATGAATAATATTTCATTCTCGCCCTCCACGACACACCCTCAAGATGGCAGCCGAAAATTTCTACTTATTTGAATTTACTGTCGAATGAACCATTCCATTCGCACAAAATGGACGTCTCTAAATCCGATAATTTCGGCATAAGATTTGGCATAGAGTGAGAATCGCTATACAGCACTACGATTACAATAAATTATAAGTTAAATCGGTAAAAACGGAAGGCGTACAAAGTTCTGTCAATCTACTCAAGATTCTGACTAATATGCGTAATAATAAACTTTCTGAACCGACCTGTTGGACAAAAATATGGTTTGCTGCCACGATCTATTGATCCTTCCCAATAAACTCGTTGTACATTTGCATCACTACTCTGCTGCACATCTGCAGTATATATACGATTCCACTTTTTATTCATTCGTTCCTGTGGTACATTGAAATTTTCAGTACCACTGCTTGGCAATCTACCATGAACATCAGCAATACCAGCGCCTATAAAGCTGCTGGAAAATGTCGATGCTAATTTTGATCCAACACATAAATCGAAAATTGATTGTGCTACAGCTTGTTGTTGTTCTATACAGAGTTGCTGAACAAAATCCTTTAGACAAAATGCTAAATCACTATCCATTCTCTACCTAATTATATGTATTATTTATCTGAAAAAATACAAAACAATACATGAGGTGTAGTTGGTGAATTATCAGCTAATTGAATGTCATGTGCGGGAAAAGTTCGGAGATTGTTAGACATGATGTGTCATTCAAAATATACGATCTAGTTAACACATAGTATGTGGTAGGTATTGAGACATTTAAACAGAATGTTTTCGAACAATGATGCACGAACAAAAACTAGAAGCAACAGAAGGAGAATGAGTTAAAACAATGACTCATTGTCAAAATCATACTTGAAAAAATATTTTTCACACGGCTTTCGGTTTCTGTTCGAAAAGAATCTTTCCGTGGGAATGACAAACAATTTTTTTGTATGTAATTGGTAGAGTTTTCATTAAGAAAAGTATAACCAAAGCAGCGGTTTTAATCATTTTGAATTTCCAACGTTTCGATTTATTAAAAAATCATTGTCAAGGATATATACAGAAAAA